GCGCCCGGCCGGTGGGGGCGGGGGGCAGGCTATAAAGAAGGCCCCGAGGTAAGAAACTTGCAAAAACACAACCACAAGTTATGCCCGGGCTGTGCCTCTAGCAGCCCAGACGAGCGGTGTGGGGTTTGGATGAAGCTGCACTTCCCGTCGGGGGAGAAAGGGTATTTTCCTCTTTAGCATAAGCAATTTGCATAGTATCTTTGAGACCAGAGTAGAAATTCAGCAGGAAACTGTAGCTTAATTTTTTTTTTCCCCTCTCTCTCTTTTTCTCTCTCTCTTTTGAAAAGAAGTCTTTGGAATTTTGGAGAAAGAGAAAGGGGTCATTAACTGCCAGAGTGTGCGCGGCTTAAATAAATTAGTGTCCAATGCACTGTTCCTAACAATGCTCGAGAAAAGTTTCCAGCCACAGTGACGGGCGATTGTCTGACTCAGAGACCATCGGGGCTCGTTTGTTAAAAGCATATGGCGAAGGATCCAGCTGAAATCCTTTGTAAATATTTCAGATTTTAAAGAAATCGTTGCTTATTTCTTTCTAACATTTCTTAAACTCCACGCTATTAAAATGTATTTTAATATGGCCTTTATTTGCAAAGAAAGTGGTGTCTATGCTTTGCTTGTTAAATGGCATTAACTAATCCCAGACAGCATTTTTTCTTTGAAAATGTATTTGTATATATCTAGAAATATAGAAATATATATCCCAAGCAAAAACACAACCTTGTATTGAAATAAATTGTTTCTCCACTGTTGAAAAGATGCTGCACTTGGTTGCAATTTATAGGATACCAACCAAGTAGTTGAAATAAGAGAGAATATTTAGAAACAGAATCAAGCTTTTTGTCGTCTTATTTTTTGCCTTAAAGTTTGAAAGGCCTAGCACAGGATCTTCCATTACAGCTCAAATACTAAACCCTTATCTGAACCACAGTAGTTTGATAATGCGAATCGTTAAGGCACCAAAACAAACACAAACAACCAAAGAAAGAAAAAAAAAAGGAGTTTGAGACAATATTCAATTTACCGTTGGGGATGATAATTGTAGCAAGGCTAAATGAATTTGTTTCAATCCTTAACAGCCATAAAGGAAATGTTATTCTTGTGATTTACTCAATTGCATACACTTGTTTATATTTAATTATTCAATAAACTGTGAACTAGGTCTGAAAAGCTCTTGCAGCATATTTCATCTGAAAAGACATAAGTGCTGACAGATAAAGCACGTTTTCCTTGGTACTTTTTCATATTTTAGATTTCAGCTACATTTGAAATCACTCTTCTCCAAATGAGACTATAAAAGAAACCCAAGTAACAGGTTGTTCTTTTGTGGTTGGCACCTTTGTGTCGTCTCCACAGCCAGCTTTCGAATAAAACACAGGAAAAACTTGGCTTCGTAGGTAGATCTTTTTTTTTTCCATTTCAGGCAAATGCAGTTTTACTGTATGTAAATCATCGAGCATTCAGGACTCTAACTTTTTGTTTTAATTTGTTACCTTAAACAAATCTTTAAGAATATCAATTATGCACAGTTGTTACTTACATAATTCTTTTCTGTTCCTAAAGAAAGCAGAATAAGACACTTGAACAAAAGCAAGGGAAACGCTGGGTGCTGAAGGACAAGGAAACAAATGATCAAGCTGCAAGAAATTGGTTTTAAGAAGCTGGTGCTCGGCTCCCAAATCCACCAGAGCGAGACTAAAAGCACCAACTAGACTGAAAGGGAAACCAACATTTCCAAAGTCCTTCATTAGAAAAAAAAATTCTGGGTTTAGATTAAGTCTCTTGTATAAAATAAGTGCTCCAGCAAACTAAAGTTGATTTGTTTGTTTGTTTTAATGTGAAGACAATGATTTAGTAATGCTGACATTCCAAAGTATTAGGTATTACGTAAAACTAATTTTTATTGGCTCTGTTACATCATTTATAAATGGCAATTGTGAGGAGAGGGGAACCACAGTACATGCTTTTTCAAGACTGCTGTAAAACAGACATACCAGGTCTTCAAATGCATAATGTTAAGTCAGGGGGACACTTTTAAAAGCCTGGATGGCAAATTCACACAGTAGCCAGATGATATGAAATTGCTACATCTTTCTCCCCCTCTGTATTCAAATAATGACTCTCAGATACAAAATCCAAAATACATCAAATCAAAATACTTACAAAAGTTTAATGTTTTAGACCAAAGAAAACAAGAGGAAATCATTCTTCTTTTTATTTTTTCCCTTGATGTTTCTTACAAGCATTTCAAAGATTAAAGAACAGAATAGCTTTGAAACTCCTAGTTAAAATACAATGAAAAGGTGATATTTTGTAGCAGCCTCTACTTTCCTCCAATTAGGCCAGGTAACATTTAATTAAAGCAACAAGTTATCCTAGGTATTGGGGAGAGGAAGGGGACAGCCTTCCTGATTCCCAAAGATAGTTTGTAACATTCAACAAGGAAGAAACTTGGGTAATTATCTCAGAAAAATGCTACTTCATCTGAAACTTAAAGTTCAAAGTAGTTTATCTAGGACATCTTATCTTTGAACCTAGGGGGAAAAGACATTTTGTTAAAATTACACCAATCTTCAGGTAGATGCCTAAAAAGAAAGGACTTTTTTTTTAAAAAAGGCTAATGAGTTCTGAAATGAGAAAGTAACAGTCTTTTCTAGAGTACTAGCAAAATTAAATATATTAATTTTTGTTAAGATCTTTCTGCTGACTTAAAAGTGAAGTAACAATTAGCCAGCACTGATACTGAAAGTTACCCTAGTGACAAGAAATGGCACATTTAGCCAGCAAAGAAATCATTAAACATGTCATTCTAATTACATGATGATAATGAAAGGCAAATTATTCATTTCCAGCAACCATTTGTTTAAGCTGATTTTGGACAAAGAAAACCTATTTCTGGATCTCTATTTTGCAAGTATCAGTGAAATTCCCTTTTTCTTGAAGAAGTAAACGGTGTTTTAACATGGCCCTAATTCAGAAGACACATTTTTATCTAAGTGTGAAATGAGAATACTAGAAAGGTTAAATACTCTCCACTATAGTTCCACCAGACACCCACAAAAAAGCAAAGTGTTTTTCCAGTGCAGGTCAGGTAGTTACAAGGTATCACCCACACATCTGAGCGAGGCGGTGCATTGTATACCTGGTACCCTCTTTACGCTCAACACAGGCGTCGTTTACCAAATGTGTTTATGGTAACACTGCCCTATTGAGAAGCCCTTTCTCTTGATTTTAAATGGTTTCTTTCTGTCTTTCTTCCCATTTTTCAATCTTTTTTAAAAGTCAAGAAAGCCAACTGGGTTTTTACAAACATAAAAGTCATTTTCGGGTCAGATCTTGCTAACCGGTAATTTTTGTCCCTAAAGGATAGATATTGCATCCACAGGCTTTTAGTTTTTACAGCAGTTTAACCAAAATAAGACAACAGAAAAATACCACTCGTCAACAAACCAGCATCTTTAAGAACTGAAATCCGTCCCCACCGGAGAGTGAGCGTTAGGTAAGGATGTATTATTAGCGAGCTTTCTTCCCTGTGGCTGGACGTTGCTTGCTATTACTCAGGGTTCCTGGGGAGCAGGGCTTGTTTTACACCCATGTGCACTGCTGTCATCACTACTGTGTCCAAAGCCAGAGGATGAACTGGAAAAGAAGAGAGGGGGGAAATAATAAAAAGAGGAAATTGGTTTTCACAACACACTCAAAGCCTGAGTAACAGAGGAGAACTTTAATTATCTCCAGTCACAAAGAGAGACAGGAAATTTGGACTTTTAATTAGCCATTTGGAGTGCAGTTGGATATTTTTTTAGCTAGATAATTTAAACGCGAATAATTCAAGTCTGACTAAATGAAAGTCACATAATCAGAATGCAGATAATTGAATTTCTACTGCATTCATTAATTCAGTGTGGAGGTGTGTGTGAAGACTACTATGATGAGCTGTCACAGCTCAATAAAATCTCAGTCAATTAATTTTTTCATTATCTTAGTATTACATCAACAAAAAAGCAAAGCGTGTGTGTATATATCTGTATGCGTGCGCAGGGGCACGGCGTGTTGGAGAAATGCGCCTGGATTCAATCAAAAGGCAAGGAAATACCTTTCTGAATCATAATCTATGTCATTTGCGCGCTTCCTTTCTTCGGCTTCCTCGGGGAAGCGTCTGTTCATCAAGGCAAACTTGTGAATTGCTTCTTCCACCGAGTACTTCGTTTGGCCAGAAACGCACGCCTCGATGTCCTCCGAATTCAGGTGACTCTGCAGGAAGAGGTGCAGGCTGCTGTCGGAGAGCAAGAGCGTGTTCTGTAGGACCCTAGGGGCGGGCAGGAGGACACGGAATCAGAGCAGCGGCGGCGGGAGGTGGGAGAGAGACACATTAGGGAGACACCATGGAAACCATTTCTCTCCGTAGCAAACTTTGCTCCCATTATGCACCGGGCCGATTACAGGGATGAAAGCATATGTTCACTTTTATTCAATTATTTGGAAATTTAGGTGAGTAAAAACATGAAGCGAATAGTTGAGAACATCTGTTAAAAGACTAACTTCAAGGACATTTCTTCCATGTAACCATCTGTTGTGCCCATGTGGGTTCATTATGGGAGTATTTTGCTTATACAGTCACCGAAGTTTATTCAACTTTAATTTCTTTTTTCTTTTCTTTTTACTGCCAACCAGCGTGCCACATTCTGTGATCTTTATGGGAGAGGCTGTCAGAAAATGTCAAAAACTCACCTGATATTAAAAACTCAATATATTCCTCAGCATGTTTCACAGTTTAAAACTTTATGAGCAGATACATAGATGGATGGATGGATGGATGGAGATAGATAGATAGACAGACAGACAGACATGTTTACCAAGGCTGAGTTGCAAAGTGGGTTTTTTCCCATGTTATGTTAATACCTAAATTGGACTCGAAATTTCTCCAGCCTCTTCTGTGGTAAAACCTAACGACGCTGCCAAAAGGAGCCGCCAGATGAAGTTGATCGCACCCCCATCTATGGCCCCAACAAGTCATGGAGAAACTTCTGCCATCTTTCCAGCGCATTGCCCCACAAGCACGTGCATATTTACTTAAAATAGGACGACTTTACAGCAACGACACACTGGTCTTCCACCATTCAGGATCACCATCAGATGGCAGTCAGAGTTCTGCTAGTGCGGCAGAACGAACTTGTGTGGAGGATTTAAAAACAATGCTGTAGCAAAATCTACATGCACTCAAAATTCCAATATTGGTGAACGAGGGGTTTGGTTTGGTTTTTTCTGAAATGCATGTGTTAGAGTAGGAAATCAAGTCAAACCATCCCCCTACATTCAAATAAAAACTGGATTTGCCTTTTTAGCAAGCGTTTTTATACATAATAATTTAGTCCCTATTCAGAGTTTCGGCAATGGTATAATGCAAGACACTATGGGGCAAAACTAGCCAACTGAAGCCTGAGTAAAAATTTTCCCAAATCTATAAAAATTTATATAGACGTGTGTGAAAATAGAGACCAGGTGTTTCAGACCAAATAGGCCATCGTTTATTTTCTGCCTTTTTAAACAAGTCATTAGAACCACCCATTTATTTCAGGTATTCGTCTCAGTTGACTTAAAATTCAGGGTCATTATCGAACCCTGCCCTTTTCTTTAAAATAAAATAGCATTCATCTCTAAGCAAGCAGAAGTACGAAGGATCCAAGCCAAACTAGCCGTCCCCTCTTGCTGCCGGGATTTTGCAGACGCAATTTGGGAAAACATACGTGATTGGCCCGCTGAAGTGGAAAGTAAACTCTTGCCACTTTTCAAAGGACAAAAACTCAAGCAAAGTAGCTAAATATTTCCATCTCTCTTCCATGTCCTGGGTTCTCCCAGAGGTGATAAAGATTAATTTGCCCAGAACAAGTAGTAACCATAGTAAATCCCTTTTTACTATCTTGGAGATTTATTTTCTACGTTTCCAAATGTTTACCATTCTTGTTTTAAATACTTCAAATTAACGGAAGAGTTATATAGCAACAGCCCATTAATATTAGCTTTGCTTTGCTGTGAAGCTTGAGCGGTGTTTCCTGTAGCCTTCTGACAGTAGTTTCCTGCCAGCCGTGGGACAAAGGTAACTGCTCACAGGATCACACTTACCGCTGTGTTTCTGTTGGCAATGTGTTTGATTTTCTTTATAAAATAATGGGTGATCTTTAAAATTGATTTTGGATGGTTTGAGGCATTACACCACAAAAGTAATGAACACTAATGCCGATGATATTGGACACAAATTCATTTTAGCTTTATTTCACGTCCAGAGCAATTCCACTGAGCCTTGAACTGCTCACGTGTGGTTATTAACTTGCTAGTAACCTAACACATGGGTACAGCAAACAAAAGTGATCAGAGTCCAGGTTGATCGGGACCTCAAGGCTACTGTCCTTTTTCTTGAGCTATAATTCAATTTCCAATTTTACTGTACATTAGACTCATTATTTCCCAGGGCTTCCTTTTCTGCTTAATACTGCCACCTGGAGGACACTAAGGTGAAGGAAGAGAGCCCAGTACACTACCCTGCACACAACTCAAGGAGGGGGCACCGGGCAGGGAACAGGCGAACACCCACAGGCCCGGGCTCAAATGCAGTGGGTCTGTTCAGCAAGGTCTGCTCTCTTGAATCGGCTCTATCTCTTGGGAACTTATACCGCCCACATGCCATGAGTGAAAACCTGTTGCTGTCTCATGGCGACTCCATAGGACAAGATTACTACTGCCTCTCAGGGTTCCCAAAGCTCTAATGTTGACAGAAGCAGACGGCCACAATTAACGCCAGCAGAGTGGCTGGTGAATCTGAACCTTGGACCTTTTCATCAGCAGCCCAGCGCTTAGCCTTTGTGTTACCGAGGCTCCCTACTCCATGGGTATCCCAAACCAAAATCAAACTCATGGCTACCGAGCCAGTTACAACTCAGAGAAGCCCTGGGGGTGAAGGTGTTACTCCTTGGGCTGGACAGAAGTTCAAAACTACCGGCTGCCGTTCTGGGGGAGAAAGATGAGGCTTTCTACTCCTGTAAAGGGTTACAGTCTTGGAAACCCAGAGGGACAGGTCTACCCTGTCCTATAGGGGTATATGAGTCTATGGGTATCCATCAGTCTCTCTCAAAAAAGCAAAAATATCTTAGTGTTTTGCCATCGGGCTTGAGGAGGCTGAGCAGCTCAGGGCAGTGATATCCTGGTTTTACTGTAAGTCGCGTTGTGACGGCCACAATCACGTTAAGTCCTATTTTTTCCCTTAGTCCTATTTGTGCCACGTTTTCTACAAATAAATCTAATACTGAAAATCAACTTCAAATTTAATTCAAAGAGCATTCTGTAAAACAGTCAATAAAATGTCAGTTTAGAAGCCTCTATAACAGCAACTGTATATCATTTTAATTCTTTATAAGAAGATCAAAAAATGTAGCCTTTAGAATTTTAAAGGAATTTCTGAAAAGATACTTACAACGCAGTCAGAAGCGATTTCTTTCCCTGTAAAATCCGTAAACGAGACAAGGCAAAATCTGTTTTCCCCCCTGAATGGCTGAAAATCTGGTTTGCCTCAACATGATCTTATTAGGCGAATTCTATATTGGCTTCGTTGAGAAAATATATAGCTATGAGGCATCATTGAATCCCGAGGATGCCTGCGCCTACCAAACCCAACATAACGATACGAACACATAGCTGTGTAATGTGTAGAGGGTACAAAAAAGGGTTTGTACATTTTTTAACCGCAGCTTAGTTATCTCTTAGTATAAGAGAAAATAAATAAAACCTACAAATAGTCACTGAGGACATTCATGATCTGTGCTGTGGTGCCCTCTATTGAAGACAAAGACATTTAAAATATAAATATATATGCATTCATATATGTGCATGCATGCATAGATGTACAGCTGATGTACATGGCTAGTCTTTGTAGGAAGCATTAATATTCTTTAAATTTTTAAGAAATAGCAAACTATAACATGAAAGTTTGGAACACAGGGTATTCATGGTAAACCATCAGCAAAGAAGGAAATAAGAATGGCTCCCACCCTTGTTTCTGTTCATGAATCCTAAAAAAAATTAGAATGCCATTACTCACAGTTACAGACGTACCAACGGGGTTTATAATCTCAGTCTATCTTTCTTTTCCTACTCGTAGTAGAAACAACGTCTAGTTTGCTATGAATTAAAAGGGAAAGGGGGATCAGAAGATAAACCAAGAGTGAGGGGAAATTAATATATTTGGCAAAGATCTCACAGGCATACTGACCAAATCTCACTAGCCCTTCTGAGTGTACTAGTTATCAATGAATTCCCATTCCTTTGATTAATGCAGTGCCCTCCACCTGTTCCAAGGAGCACTGGTGGCGCACTGGTTACGAGATGGGCTACTACCATCAAGTTCAGCAGTTTGAAACCACCAGCCGCTCCCCAAGAGAAAGACAGTGCTTTCTACTCCCGTAAAGAATGACAGTCTCAGACACTCACAGAACAGTCCTACTCTGTCCTACAGGGTCCCTGTGTGTCACCATCGACTTGGTGGCCCCTGTCCTATCGTTTCCTTGTTCATACAGCTGGGACAATCACAGCCAACTCCTGAGATTGCGCCTGCTCCTAAGTATTAAGTTGAAACAAGGCAAATGCCAAGCGTGTGTCCAAGAAATGGCAAAAACTGGTCAAAGGCACAATATCCTAACCCATCAATGAAGAGATGCCTGGATATTTGTCATTAGATATGTGTGATTCAACCAGTGACTTTTCCATGGACACACACACGCGATGCTCACCAATACATGTGCTCACCAATACATGTGCTCACATGATGCTCACCAATACATGGACCCCGACACAGCAGCCCTTTGTTTCAAAGGGTTTGACCAAAGGGAGTGCGGTGGTTCCCAACTTCCAAACATTCTAAAACCGAATGCGAACAAATGTACAAACGTGCTTGACATGATGGGTGGATGGGTTGTGATCAGCGTTGTACGAGCCCCCAATAAAATGATTTTTAAAATCGCTATTGGAAAGTGGATTGTTGCAGATGCTGCGAGGTGAAAAATTAGCACCCAATCATTTGATCTCCCTGGTGATCCATTCAAAGGTGTTCTAGTTTTAAATCTTTTGTTTTCTCTTCAGTTGAGGTTTTACCTGTTTACTTTGTTGAAGTTTGGGTTTTGTTTGTTTGTTTGTTGAATGTGTTTCTGCGTATGAAATCCAGGAGAGGTAAATCCACAGACAGGCACTGGGTTAATGGCTCCCTGGGGACGGGGCAGGGGAAGCTGAGGGGGATGAGCTAATCAAGACGAGTGCAAGAATGAAGAAAAAGTTCTAAAACGGAGTGCGCGATGACTGTGCAACTCTTCTTCATGCGAGTGAACTAGTGTGTGCTGTGTGAATGACAGATATGCCCATAGAGCTGACGCCACGGGCTCAGAAGCAGTGAGGGCACATGCCAGAGCCCAACAGCCGTCACAGTCTCATACCACCGTGTTGTCCCTTGTCAGCTTCCAGCGGCTCTACGACTCAGCCAGGCGGGCCGCGGGAGGGGCTCCGACTGAGTGGGTAGCCAAGCGAACCGCAGAGCTGCCTGCTGGGGTGGGGACCACTGGGCTGGCTGTGCAGCACACTCAGTGCTCAGAGTGGGTTGGCCTGCCAGGGCACAGACTTGGCCCTTGGACAAGGAACAGAAGTCAGCACAGCATCTTCGGGGCCTGGGAAGGGGGAGCCAGCAGGAGCCCCCCTCTGCAGGTTAGGCCTGGAAGCAGCCAGGTGGGATTGTCCTGACGTCCTTCAGGTTCTGAAAAACCGCCTTTCGTTTTCTGTGTGAAACTCACTTGCTTAGAGACAAACGGTCACACGACACAGTGGAGCAAGTAACCTCCCAGGAGAACCGGGTGTCGGTTCCACGATTTGGCTTCCAGAAGAGAAATCTAAACCCAACTCTCATGACCTCGTGATAAGCGTTTTAGAGTCCCCAACAAAAACGTCCTCCGCGGGATCCCAACTCATGGAGACCCCAGGTGTTGTAACATAGAACTGACTCCTGGGCTTGTCCCTGCAGAGAGCCTTAGCGGGGCAGGAGCCTGCCTGGTGGGAGTGATTCCCGCTCAGCTACTATCCCAAGAGTTAGCAGTTCCAACCCACCAAGCAGCACCACAGGAGAAAGGCCGAGAGGTAGGCTTCCACAAAGACTAGAAGCACGAAAAACAATGGCGCCTTCCTACTTTGCAGCCCACACAAGAGGTGGCCATGAGCTCACGATGAACCCAAGGGCAACAGGTTTGGTGTAGGGGGGGTGGCATCTAATGGAAGTAGATCGCCAGACCCTTCATCCATGATTTAAACCACAACCTTGGACTCCAGCCTTGCCAAGTGCAAACTGTCTGTACCACCCATAAGCCCCCACACACATACATACAATACTTCCCCACTAAAATAGAAGCTGCAAGAGGACAAGGGCGTGTATGTTTTGCACTGTCCTACCTCCCAGAGGAGGGCCCAAAGCAATTGCTGAGTAAATGTCTGTTGAGTAAATGACCACTCGGTGGCTTTCAGAGTCCTTTCTGCACCATCATTTGGACAGCACAGTGACCCAGTAAGGCTGGCAGTGCATGTGTCACATCATCCTATTCTTTATGCAAAACCACGGCCCAAAGGAATAACCGTAAGTGACTTGTTCCAAGGTCACATGGCTAGGGGAGAAAAAAATCAGAAGCCACAATTCAGGGCAGCCCTGACGCCCAGTTCGTCCAGCCCCTGATCCAGGACACTCTCCAGGAAGGTGTCCGCATCTAAGGCAGCCCACAAGCAGGCAAACTACACAGGACAGCTTCTAACAGTCCGTGCTCACATGGAGTGCACCGATAATAGAATTGCTTGGCTAACTTTTTGAAGCCCCCTCAAATAGAGTGTGCCATAAGAACCCAGTGCGTCACCGTCTGGCTGTCCATTGTGGTGGATCCTCTTGTGGAGGGACGCGCTGTGTTCAAAGGCACAAAGGGGCGCCAGGTCAAAAGGCAGGCCTGGTGCTTGCTTCACTAGCTGCAGAATCCCAGAGGTGCAGGCTGTCCTGTGGCCTTCACTAAGGAGACTCCGGTGCATGGTAAGACCTGCAGCTCCTGCACGCTGACAGGGATGGCAGGCTTCAGTCTCCCTCCCCCTGCTCAGTCCTCCTGGGCAATGGCCAGTCTGCAGCTTGGGGGGAAGGGCAGGAGCATGTGGAGCAGGGGGCAGGGCAACTGCAAGCACATCTTAAGGGGGAGAGCATCAGCCACCTGGGCCTCCCGCAGCCAACAATTAAAATGAGAGCTGTCCCGTGGGGAAAGGGCAGAAAGAACTTGAGCAAGTCTTTGTTCGGTCACGTTTGTGATCCCCAAAAGACGACCATGGACACATTTTCTGGTGACCGCCCTCAGCTGTCTGCTGAGTCGCTCTGGTCGGCTCTCCTGGGTGCTTCCCCTCCTTTTTGCTCCTCTGCCGCCTTCTCCCACAATTTATAATCACAATTCATAATCGTGTGTTTCTGGATGTGTCCCTGACCCCTTCCGAGGAAAGGCACTATTTCAATCTAATAGCAATAAGCATTAATATTCATGTGCATACTTAATACCCAGGCCCTTGATGAGGGAGCCAGATGGAGAGAAGGTAGTGTGTGACGTCAGGCAAGCTGTAAGGTACTGTTCAGGGAACTCAACGGAGCCGACTTCAGATCTTGAAAATGAGAGAGGTTTCTGGGGACTGGAGCTTGGCACCAACGAGTCAGGTGACTCAGTCCACTTCCTCATTGATAACACAGGGAGTTCGAAAGCTCAGCTGAAAAACACGACTGTTTCTACAGGAACTCAAATGCTGCTACAGCCAACACTCAGCGAGGGCACAGTGCCTGAGTGTGCCGGGCCCTGAGGTTTACAGGCATTCACGTGTTTCATCTCCGACAGCCTCGTGCGGGCTGTACCCTCGTGAACCCCATTTTACAGGCAGAGGAATACAGGCAGAGGGAGTACCCAAACCTCCGGCAAGTAAAAGGCAGAGCGTAGATTTGAACATGGGCAGTCTGCTCTCAGGGTCTGCAAGGAAATCATGGCAGGGGTAGGTAATCTAGAATTTCAAAGAATGGAATAAAAGGAAAATCTCAGAGCAGTGTGAATTCAAATCTCTTCAACGGCAGTCCCCGCCTTGACCAGATCATCCAGTAACTAGCCCACTGAGAGGGCTGGGCAAGGGCCCCTTCAACAAACACTCCCTCAGATGCACTCCCTAGCAAACACCGTTCAAACCATCAATTTAGAGGCACCCCAAAGCACACTAGCATAAGGTGACCAGATTTTAACTTTGGTAAAGCCAGAGACCATTGATAAAACTCATACCCTGGCAAAATAGCCAATGGTAGCCGAAAACCATATACCCTAGCTTGTCGTGCATTCTTTCCAAAATTTGGGACTTTTTTAAAAACACTGCACGCCACAGGAAAATTTGTTAAAAATTGGGACTGTCCCGCCAAAAGCGGGACGTCTGGTCACCTTACAATAGCAGCCCACTGTTGAGCTGATGCTTGTCTGTTCCTCGGAGGGGAACTGTAAATACACACAGTTTTGAAGAAGTGCCTTTTCAACAGGTATATTCGTTTCCTAGAGATTTTTCACTTTGGTCAGATAAACTCCCCAGTAATTTGGATCTGCTTTACCGCTGACAGGACTACGTATTGACTAGCCGGCGTGATTAGCACCCTGCTTTCTTTCTAGGATTGGTTACACATGTGTAGCACAGGATGGGAGCCACGAGGTGGTGCTCTAATATAGGAAATGAACTGCCGAGTGACCAGCACAGCGACAAATGATTCAAAGGCAGTGCGGGTCTCCCCCCCCCTGTGCGTGTGACATTAAACCCTTGACAGGAGACCTGCGAGACCTGCGAGTCCACAATCTGACCACAGGAATTCCGATGCACTTACTTTCGGAGGAAATCTTCCAAACCCTGACGACGCTGGTCTACATGCTGGCGGTTGTTCATGTTGAAAAAGAGGTTTTTCGATGGAAGGTCTGGCAGTTGTCTTGAGAGAAAGAGGAGAAAAAATGTTTTGTAATGATCAAATCAAGGGGGTGGAGTTCCAGTAAAGCCAAGTCTGTCTAATAAAGAGGACTGCACAACTCCTAAAGGGAGGAAGGAGCCCAGGTTTCCATAGGGTGGGGCTGTTAACAACAAGGTCAGCAGTTTGAAACCACCAGCTGCTCCAAGGGAGAAAGATGAGGCTGTCCACTCCTGTAAAGACTGGCAGTCTCAGAAACCCACAGGGGCAGTTCTACTCTGTCCGAGAGGGTCACTGTGAGTCAGAATCCACTTGGTGGCAGTTTATTAGCAAGGATTCGTTCATAAGGATATTGATTAACTTAAAGAAAAACACCCCCTTTTCACTCTCCAGAGGCCCTTCATGGTCAAGATCCATAAACACTGGTGGAATTCCAAAGATACATTTTACATTTAGATGTAGTAAGCACAAAACTACCTAAAGCTTTATGCTGTAATCAAGAAGAAGGCCCATAAAATCCTCAGTACTTTATCTGTGAAAACAAACAAAATTCACTAACATTCAGTTTAGTCCCTATGAGCTTCCTAGAAGGCAACTCTTTAAGAGCCTAGAACCCGCCCTCTTTCTCCCTCGGAGAGGCGGGTGGTTTCAAACCGCCGACCTTTCTGTCAGCAGCCCAACCTGCACCACGACACCACCAGGGCTCCTGGGCCTTCCTCCGCCCACATTCTGAGGACCTGGAGAGCAGGGCAGTCCACCAGGCCCTCGGAGTCACTTACACCAGCAACGCGTTGCTCTGGAGCCTCTGCCTCAGCCACACAAATTCTCGGTATCTTCTTCGTACGCAGGACGTCTTCATCGTAAAGCACATGCTGTTGGTCTGTTGAGAGAAAGAGAAGAAAATAAAGAAATACCAGCTCACTTGAGGAGGAAGCTACTTGTCTTTGATCTCTCGCACAGTTTCAAAGGCCAGAACAGCAGAAGCTAGTTGCCATGGAGCTAGCTCGGACTCATGGAGATAGATACCCTGAGGATCGGGCTAGACTGCACTCCACCGGCCTTTGCAGTGGCTGGTGTTGGGGAAGTAGGTTGCCAGGGCTTCCTTCTAAGCCTCAGAGTCTCTGACATCCCTGGGTGGAGCCAAGCCACCAGCCTTTGGTCGGCCACTGAGCACATTAACTGTTTGCCCCATCCAGGGACTCATAACGTAACCATCCTACCCTCCCAGTCAATGCCAACACAGAGTAACCGATGTGACGCGTAGAACTGCCCCCTGCGAGTTTCCCAGACTATAACTGTGTATGGAAGTGGAAAGCCCGATCTTTCTTCTGAGGAGCAGCTGGTTGGTTTTGAACTTTAGACCTATCAGATTGCAGCCCAACTCTGTGCAATAACCCCCGCGCCACCAGGGCTCATGAGGGGAGAGTGATCTGACTCGGAGAGGGCATGTGCCCTGGGAGGAGGGGCGGCCTGAAGGACACCAAAAAGCTCCAAACTCACTGCTCTCAAGTCTCTGCCAACCCACAGCGACCCTCTCGCACAGACTAGAACTGCCCCCGTGGGTCCCCGAGACCGTAAATCTTTTTTTTTTAATAAATAAAATTCACATTTTATTTAGATCGAAATAAACTGTATAAAATTGACTTTCTTCACCAAAACACCAGTAATATTTCCTGTATTCGTCCTAAATAAACCACAAAACCTTTAATCTTGTAGGTTTTCCAGGTTTTGCTTATAAATCAGGACGAGCCAGTGGATCCAGTCGTGGGAAAAGAAAACGGAGAGCAGAGCATCCGTTGTTCGTGCCGTGGCCTCCGATTCTGTGTTGACCATGAGACAGGGGTTCCGCAGCACCTCTCAAAAGTGGACGACAGTGTGGGCTCAGCAAAGGATTGTCACAGCAGCTACCACAGGTGGAGCAAAGGCAAGGTCTTCCATTCGAACTCGGACTGTGACTTGTTCCTCTGGGTTCGTTTGATAAACACCAAATCTACACTGAGATTCTTGTCTGGGAGCTCGGTTTGTCTCACTCTGGTAATTCCTCCAATGGTCCAGTACAGATTTTTAACATTAACTCCCACTAAGTCAAAAATTAGTCTTGCGATTCATTGTGACATTTGCTAAAATGCCTTCCCCACCCCCTCCAGCACCTCCTCCTCCAAGTTTATTTCTTGAAAGAACTGTCACTTAGTTCCTGATCATTGGATCCAGTGAGAAAATCTTTACAGGAGCAAAAGATCTCACCTTTCTCTGAGGGAGCAGCTGGCAGTGTCAGAAGCACTGCCCTAACCAGTAGCAGCCGAATTAGTAACCTACCACCCTGCTGAGACCTGGAGAATCAGCTACCCCGGGTTCCAGACAGACTCTGCTACCAGGCAAGCCACCCAACTCCTGTGTCCTGATTGGTAACATGGGGATGCCATGGAATTTAGCTATTCCATAGAGTGACTGTGAGGATTGATAACCAGTGCCCGGTAAGCGTGACCTATTAACACAATAGCAGCAGTGTGTATTTGGCTGTTTTCCTTCAGGAACTGTTATCTACAGAGTCCTCATACTGAATGAAACCACACTGCTTCTCCTTTGGGTAAACAAGATGGATAAATATGTTTATTTCTCTTCTGGGTACAGCAAAAGGCTGTCCAATTTTTCCTACTCATTTTCAAAAGTATCTCTATTCGCTGTATTCATTTCAAAATTCCATTTGATAATGTTTACATGACCCAATGAGAGGCAGATTTCTATCCCCCTGAGTTCAGTCCAATTTCACAAAATGTGACTGTTCTATTGGCAATCGAAGCCACATTTGCATTAATCCTCACACTGTTCCCATAAGATACATGGGTGCAGTTTCTCATCTTCTTGCTGTGAGGTCAGAGAAGATCAGGATGCAGACGGGTTAAGAGATTTGCCCAAAGCAGCCAAAGGTCCAACAGCGCCTCACTCTGATGTGCTCCTTCGGGGTCGGAGCCGGCAGGCTGTGTTACGCCAGACTGGGGCCGTAACGAGGCCGGGGAGGGTCTCTCCCCAAAGAATTCCAGACCAGTCGAGGCCTCCTGGCGTCTTGAGTACAGGCTGGGTCACCGAAACTCCCTTGAGTTTCCCCGCGCAGAAGCACCGTGAATGTTGTCACCGGTGAGCCACTTGGGCACCTCCATCCAAGAAAGGTCTATGAATCCTTCATTTGTTGAGCAAGTGCAGGAGGCTGATCTAAGCTGAGCGATTCTGCTCCGAGCTCATTCATTTAAAATCCCAAGAAAATGTTAGGATTTCACAGTCCCCTGAGAGCATTTCCCTTAAGGTTACCTGACAGGTGAAGCAGCAGCTTTTCTACCTGCAAAGCTCCTGAGCACAAGAGACAGAGAAGAATTCTCTAGCCTCAGCATCCACGCTCATCACACAATAGCAAGCAGAAGCTTCTTCCAGACCAGAGTATACTGAGACCACAAATTAAGTTCCTCTAAAGTTCCTTGGTTGTTTTGGCTATCCACCAAGCCAAGATCCATTCATGGTCAATTTATTAGCATTTCAGACAATCACCAGGACCCCATCCAATAATATTTGTGGAACCAATCATTTCCGGCTTCGACAGCGGTTTCTGCATTCACTTCCTGCTACTTGTGTAACAGAAAAGAATCTGTCCCACTCGCTCCCTGCTGTCAAGTCCGTGCCAACTCACAGCGGCCCTATAGGACAGGACAGAACTGCTGCTGTGAGTTTCCGAGACTGTCACTGTTTACAGGAGTAGAAAACCCTGTCTTTCTCCCTCAGAGCAGCTGGTGATGTTGAACTGCTGACCTTGGGGATCATACCCAACACATAACCACTGTGCCACCACAGGGCTCCTGGGCTCTTTAGGATGGTTATATTTCAGGCCTACCCTATAGTACAAGGCAAGGACTTACAATTTTTTAAGGGAAGTTAAGAGTCAATTAAAGAATTTTGTTTTAAAAGAGCATTTAAATGAATGTATTCATGTTCTAACTTTCCACACAGAAATTGTCTTGGTGTGAGCTCAGGAATACAAGCCAAACAAAGTCAGAATACAAAGGACACTCAAACAAGGAGCTACAGCACAAGCATCCCAAACCTTTTCTAAGATTTTACTTTATTTATTTTCTGTGTTGGGGACTCTTAAAACAAAAACCAAAACCAAAAAAAACCCCAAAAAACAAAACAAAATTAAAAATGGAGAAAAAAATGGCTGCTGTCTATACACCAATTTCGCTATTTACAATGGGAAGATTAACTAGATGAAGGCTAAATTTTTACTTCACTTGTGCTCTATGTAGGCACAGATGTCAACGGTTTCTCTGCTCCTAAGAGCAGTTCCACTTGGACTAAGTATGACGGGAAAAGTGAGCACTATCAAGACCAGCGGCTGACCAACTACGTATGGTGGACCAAATCTGGTCCGCCCCAGTTCTACTGACACATCATCATGTTCCCTCACTTACATGTCGCCTATGGTCGCTTTCGCCCACACTAGCAGAACTGAGTAGCAGTGGGGGCCGAGTCTGCAGGGACTTGCAAAGCGGAAAGAACTTAACTGCCTGGCCCTTTACAGAAAACAAGCTTTGATTCCTGGTCACGATGACTGCAGGGACCACACGCCATTCAACACTGCTCAGGAGATGGTGCTAGTGTCCGTTCCAATAACATGCATCCATTCTAGGGACTGACTGCTAATGTTAGTTCTTCGTCATCTAGAACATGGTGCACTAATTGCACATACTTGCCTCTTTCTGACTGCATACATAAAATGCTACACATCTCTTTTTCACCAGAAAATCCAAAACCAAAGGTTCATAGGCAATCTTGTCCAGAAATAGACTATCACAGATCCAAAAGAAGTACCACTCATCATAAATATCATTACCAACATACTCTTTGACCATCAATCTTAATTGGATTAATGTCTTCATACAAAAAATAACAACAATAAACCTTTTTTTAAAAAGCAATAAGCAGAATCTTAACAGTGAGAATAAAGCACTAAAAAAACTTTACAACTTCAGGAACCAACTTCCTTCTGCATTTAAGACACAAATCATTAGTCATAATCATTGGAAGTTCGTTCTTCAAACTAAGCAAATGCGTACCAATTTCATATCATTATCAGTGTGCCATAAACTATATACTACAGAAAAAGTGACTGATTTCTACAGATCACTGTATACTTACGTGAATACAGATCTCATAATCAATATAAGAATGCCAAAAGTCCTCCTTCTGAATCCTAGGGTCTCGAACCCAGACACTTACGAATTCCTGTAAGGGCATGACACACAAAGAAAATGTTTCAGGATTTCAAGAAGGGTTCACAAGAGCGAGGAGAAGGACTGCCCGGAGCCCACAGAAGCTCTAGCCCGTGTGCCTGTGGCCCTTTCAAAAACCAGAAGTAGCGTGCATGAATCAGACACCACGGGCCACTGCACAAACGACTTTTTTTTTTTTTTAAGCCACAAATGGGAATTTCTAAAATAAGGCAAAATTGGGCTGGCGCGTTTGGGGACAGCTTTTTGTAAGATTATTTGCAGGCAAATAAGAAAGTAGACTCCAAGTCTGGTTTTTGACTTTTAAGGGTGAAAAAAGGTTCCTATGTGTCTCCAATTTTAAACGCAGTCCTTTCTTACTTCCTTCGTCTCTCTATTAAAGGCACAGGCCCTTGGCCTTGCTCAATAAATCGCCTCCTAGGGCTCACGGAAGCAGAGCGAAGGTCATGGGAGAAGCAAAGAATGAGAGCCGAAGCTGACTGTGTGTGCAGCCCGGTCTGGGGAGAATAAGCAGCAGGGCCTTATGAATAAAGCTAGGAACACTACACAATCTTATTCTTATAAAGAATACTTCTCTAGTTTCAGAATGCATCCCGATAGATTCATCTTCATAACACTTTCCCTCATCGATAAAATCAATGGTTACCAACTAGTAACGAAACTTACACAGTGGGCAAGTCTCTGTTCCTTCGCACGGATGCTGAAAACAGGAATGCGGAGTAAAACTGAAAACATGAGACTTCAGAAAGCGCTCTTTAGGAAGCTAGGTAGACCCCACCAAAGCCAAATCCACGACCAATCTATTCCGACTCACAGGGCCCCTTCCGTGGGGTTTCCGAGACCCTGCATCTAACAGGAACGGACAGCCTCCGCTTTCTCCCTCCCTTCAGCTGGTGGGTTGGAAGCACGGAGTTCGTGGTGAGCAGCTAGCCCACAGGGCCACCGGCCTCCTGAGACTAGTCAGACTGGGCTGATAAAAACAAAGCGTGGGACGGAAAAGAAATGCTATTGGCATGGTACATGCTGAGATAATCACGAAAGTCACCGTTGGGTTTAATTTTCAGTATCTTTTAACTTTGGGGGACAATTCGGGGTTAGAGTAAGGTGACCAGATTTAAAGCGGGACACCATTGACCGGGGGGTGGGGTTCTTGATGAAAAATTTGGTCTATATGGACCAAATAGACCGTTCCCTAGCTTGTCGTGCATCCTTTCCAAAAATCGGGACTTTTTAAAAACGCCAAAAATTGGGGCTGTCCTGCCAAAAGCGGGACGTCTGGTCACCTTAGGTTAGAGGCTAAAATGTTAGGCGCCTCATAGTGCTGCTCCCAGGCAAAGCTGAAAGCAGAGGAGGCCGCAGACGGACCGTGGGGTTTTGTTTTTAAAGAAAGACACAGGCCAGGGGATTTCAAAGTGTGAGAGCAGTCCACACTCCGTGCTTGCATTTGAGGTCTCTGAGATGGTGGGCAGTGCCCTCGTGAGCCTCACTGGGACCCGCCTGGTCATTTAAATCCTGCAGGAGACACAACCCGAATGAGGCAGGGTAAGACCTGGTGGTGCTGCACCCAGTCTAGCCAGTACTTCTTCAACGCCGATCCTCCTCCCACCACAGAGCAGGGGCGCGAACGGCCTTGCTATCATGCCGATTACTGCAGATATGATTAAGTTAAAATGCAATACCTAAATTTAATCTGATCTCCCTTTTGGCCCATTTCAATTTTGTTCTAGTTTTTAATATGGTTTTTTGCTTTCTTTCTGATTGAGGTTTTTCTCTGTTTTGTTGTTGTTGGGTTTTTTTCCTCTTTTTTTTTTTTTTTGTGCATTTGTTCGTTCATTTGTTTTTCTGTTTATGAAATCCAGGACAGGTAAAACTATAGACAGTAATTGGATTAATGATTTCTTGGGGATCTGGCAGAGGAGGGGAGGGGGAAGTGGGGAGCTAATAACAATGAGGACAAGAAAGAAGAAAACATTCTAAAATTGATTGTGGTGATGACCGTACAACTCTTTTGAATATGACTGAACTACTGAAGTGTACGGAATGTGAATTCTATAAAACTAAAATTCTTTTCCAAAAAATTTTTTAAGAAATAAATTTAGAGCAAAACAAACAAGCAAACCTAAAAAAGCAGATTCTAAGTTATAGGAGGAACCATAAAACAATAGCTAAACCAAGCTGTCTGCAATAGTTCCTCATAGCTGCAAAGGTGGTCGGGTTGAGGGTAAAGTAGGCATGGAACCAGACACACAGGCCCCCAGTCTGTCTGCCTTGCCCTCAGGCCCCTGTAAGCTGCGCCTGTGTGTTCAACTCACATTCCTACCGCATTGTCTCCACACCATGAACAGAAGGGAGGGTTACGACAAACAGGAGAGCCAAGGCCCAGAGTCCAGAGCAGACTGTGCGGTGCCGCCACAGGGCCTGGGCTGCACTTGGACTTCTTGGACCTTCAGCACTTTTTTCTTCATAGGCCCACACCACCCTTAACATAAATAAAAGCTATTAAAATTACAGTTTACTGCTGTATTGATAGAAAAAGAAGTATACCGATGTTGTTGACTCCATTGACTCAGCCCCCTACTCCTGGCAAACCCATGCTCAGTCCTGAATCATCCCTGCAATTGGTTGTGGATTGGATAGTTGTCTGATTTTCAGAATAGATTCAAACAAACAACAACAACGACAACAAAACAAACTCACTGCCATCGAGTGGATTACAACTCAGAGCGACCCTACAGGACCCAGTAGAACTGCCCCTGAGGGGTTCCGAGACCGTAACGCTTTAAAGGAGTATAAAGTCTCATCTTTCTTGTGCAAAGCTGCTGGTGGTTTCCAACTGCCGACCTTGCGGTTAGCAGCCCAACTGGGAATCACTCCATCAGCAGGGCACCTGTCAGAATAGCGTTTCAGGTCTTCATGCCGCTCCGTCCCAGCCGGGAAGCTCCATTGAAACGTGTTCAGCAGCGCAGGCCTTCACTGACGGAGGAGTGGGGGCTACCCATGAGGTGCCCGGTGCAGGAATGAGAAACCCGCGCCTCCTGTAGGGAAAGCAGCGCTCGTCCACTGACCCACCACGGTGCCCTCGATCTGTTAACACTGTAGTCTAAGGCCTTTCCTTTGAGCTAAAGGGTCACCTTTTTCCTTCTGATTTGAGGAAAAAGTGAAACCGGTTTCCTGGGCCCTGCGTGTGCTGTGCACAGCGGCAAAGTCTGCCCTTCCTGAAAGCTGAGCCAGGGCAAGGTCACCCTGCCCCACGAAGCCAAACCAGCGGGAAGGCGAGTCCTCTGGTCCGGTGCAGGCACCGCGCAAGGTTGGAGGGAGTTGGCGGCTCCGAGTGCCACTGGAGGCAAATGTTCCTGGACATATGGAAAAGGAAACAAAGTATTTCCACAGCTCAGTGTTCCTCCTTAACAGTAAGGGTATGCACCTATTCCTGGGCCTTTTTACACAAGTTAGACAAAAATGAAAAGATAGAAAAAACCATTTTGAATCTGCTACAAAGCTGTCATTTAAAAAAATTTTTTTTCTAAACAAAAATGATAAAATGCAATTACGGCAGTGGCACACACCCACTAGCCACTCACTTGATTATTAATTGGCAATGGCAGTAATGACAAACCTTTGCAAATTTTCAGGGCTCTTTACCCACAGGTGGGTAGTTATTGACCTTTTTGGGGAAAGAGCACAAGACTAGGAGAAACTCTGGCTCACCCACTGCCCACGATATGAACATATGCTGAGACTCCGTGTACACATCTGGAACATGGAACTAAGGCCAGCCCAGCCTGTGGGAGCCCCTAACCATTGAACTAGTGGCCATCAAGTCACCCCTAACACGTGGTGACCCACCGGAAGTGGCGTTCTAACAGGGGCTTCATCAACAGTTCCTGTCTCAGACACCCACAGGCCAGTTCTGTCTTGTCCTGCAGGGTCCCTGTGGGTCGGCGTGGACTCCGTGGGAGTGAGTTTGGTTTGGGTTGGGGTCTCGGGCTCTTCTACCTAAAGGTGCTAAGCTCCTGTAGAGCAGGGCTATCTGTGGGACTTGACTGCCTGATCTATCCAATACGTCCCATTGATATTACTGAATGCATGCATGATGGCCGAATGCGAGACTTCAGGCGGGAGGGCGGGTTGGAAAGGGGGAACCGATTACAAGGATCTACATGTGACCTCCTCCCTGGGGGACGACAACAGAAAAGTGGGTGAAGGGAGATGTCGGACAGGGCAAGATATGACAAAATAATAATAATTTATAAATTATCAAGGGTTCATGAGGGAGGGGAGAGCAGGGAGGGAGGGGAAAAATGAGGAGCTGATGCCAGGGGCTTAAGTGGAGAGCAAATGTTTTGAGAATGATGAGGACAATGAATGTACAAATGTGCTTTACACAATTGATGTATGTGTGGATTGTGATGAGAGTTGTATGAGCCCCTAATAAAACGATTAAAAAAAAAGACTTCGGGTGGGTGGGGAGGAAATGGTATCAAATTTTCATAGAAATCAAACTCTCAACCATTTGGGGGCTTGGATGCTACGAATTAATGGTGTGTTTTTCTAGCAGCTGAGCAAAATGTCTCTTAACAAACCCATCCGGCGAAGGGGGTGCCCATTAACTGCGGAAGGCTGCGGGAACAATGGGACCAATGTTGAAGGCCTGTGGGGATGAACTGTTTGCAAGCGCCCTGTGCCGATGCTCCTACTGCATGGAGAGGACGGACGCCCTTCCTTCCGAGCGCTTCCTTCACTTCCCAGTGGTAGGGCCCCTAGGACTTCTCCAGACAACTAAGTGTTAGCCTCGTTGGAGTTAAAATATGTACTCCAAAGTCATAAAAGTACATTTCTTTTAAAATATTCTATAACTCAGATGGCTCCCCCTCCCCCGCCCTGCAATTAGTAGGAATTAGTGAAGTTTCACCCTCACTTCCAGCCAAGAGTGGCGCACCCAGGAAGCCAAGGTTCACCTATAATCCCTTAATTAGACGCATCCCTCACCAGGCT